TCTAGTTGATGACATGACGTCGTCCAGTGAAGAAGATATTTTAATGTACGTAAAAGAAAGGAAAATGTGCGTTACGATTTAGCACGCGAATTTTTAAATGATCCGGTTAAATTCCAGTTATCTAATTATCGAATGTCCCCGGAATCCTATAAGGAACTTCTTCAGAGAGTTTCGCCACTGTTGAGGAAGGATACAAACTATAGGAAAGCTGTCAGTGCTGATGAACGGCTAATTATAACATTAATTATAAGAAAGAAATCACAAAACGTGCGCCAAATCGTACAGATTTATTTTAAATGTTTATTAGACATGATCGAATCGTTTCACTGTGAAAGTGTCCCCTATTGTTGATAATAATGTTTAATTTTAATTATGAGATAGTACAGCTGCGTCATATTGTGATATTAATTAAAATGATTATTATATTTGTTTAACGTCAAATCACAATAAAATAGTAAGTTAAGATAATTAAAATATCATCTTATGTTCCATATCGAGCATTCGATGTAAACAAATATAATAATTATTTTAATTAATTTTAATTGTCCAAAATTTTGAGTACGTTAACCTACAGTTTTCAATGACGTGGTGGCGACTCACATCTGATAACTGGGAACAAAACGTCCATCTGCACTTTCATCACATGGGGAGGGCCTCCCTGACTCACGTTACCCGCGTTTTGGAAAACCGGCGGATACTGATGTCTCAGTCCTGGCGCACAGAAAAGGAACATGCCGAGTCTCGCTGCACGTGTCTGCATCATGACTCAGGCCGGTGTGCGGCGGTTTTCATAATCTCATTCGTTTCAACTCTGCTCCTTTCTTTGCGTCATGTCGCAGACATCGTGTCTTGACTGTTACATGTCTTGACGCATGCCGGTGTGCGGCCTACCTTAGTTGTTTACCTGGCCAAGAAGTTGCCCTTGGTTTATGTGCCTGTAGGTCTAGCGGTTAGAACGCTGGCCTTGTAATCCTGGGGTCTCGGGTTCGATTCCCGGCGGTGCCCGAATTTATAACTTATGTTGGGCAAGGCCGTGGTCTAGGCAACACGGAGTTTTCCTCCGTGGCATCCCAACAATTACTCCATTCACACACAGAAGAAGGCAATGGCAAACCACTTCGGGATCATCTGCCAAGAACGTATATGAACAGGTCCCAGACCGAGAAAATGATGGAAGGATCCTGTTCATATGGACATGTCGTCAGACAGAACACTAAATAAAAAAAAAATTACAAGTGGCGCTATTATCGGTGCCAGAATATTGCAGGAAATTTCTAAAGTGCGATTTTAGGGTCGTTCAAAATGACATAAACTTTGTACCAAATTTCATCCAAATCCATCCAACGGTTCTCGAGGTAAATCACGTGGACGGAGAGACAGACATGACAGACCTGTTGATTATACGTATATAATAGATTCTGAGGAAACGGACCTGTCGTTAGACAGAACACTAATAATAATAAAAAGGTTTGATTACTACGAAACAGAAAATCTTCGTATTTTGTGTCCACTTTTGTAATTGCGTGAAATGGATAGCACAGGAAACAAGAAATGTCAGTCAGACATCGAATAGAAAGTTGCCGTTTTGATACTGGAATTGTGTGAAAATTTTAACCAGTTATATTTGTGCGGAGTTGTGCCTATAAATACACTATTACGTAATTATCCATAAAACATCATACTGTGGAATTGTTGGTGCCTGTAGTTATCGATCGAGCTTATAAAATTATATGTGAGTGATATTTCGCACAGTAGATGGCAGGTAACGTGAGTTAGTTTCGAGAATAGTTCTCGCTCGGTCCGTATCGTGGCGTTTGTTTCGCTCAGTTTTGGCAGCATCGTCATGCCAAGATAACAGCAACGAACCATTAGGTAACGTGAGAATGGTGTTGGTGAGTGGATGGGGCTATGGAAACTCTTGGTAGTGTGCTCAAATACTCTAAATGTGCTGTGTGGTTATGTGATGTTGCTCAGAAAGGCGTCCAAGACTGTGTAAACTAAGGTACGTGTTGTGCAATTGTCGTTGGTCAACTGCGGTTCGTTAATGGAGCTGAATCCTTGGCGTGACTCATTATTCCCCCACAGTAATTTGAAAACAGAAGCAGTTGCAACATGCTTGCTCGTGTTTTGTTTACCGGCTTCAGTCTTGAAGTAGTCATGTTTAAACAACTGATATCAGCTTTTAATTAAATAAAGTTTGTACTGTTAATACTGTACTTATGGAATAGTAAAATTAAACCGTGTGTGAATGGAAAATAAGTAACGTGATTTCAATTTTTGAATGTAGTGATTTGTCTCTTGAAATATTGACGGGTAAAATGCCGAGCGACCGGTACCTGCTTCAACAATAAGAATATTTATTTTTTTGGTTTCGTTTGATTTACAGAATAAACTGCGATTAGCTAATCGTTGTCATGGAAACGCGTTGTGTTTTTTTTTGAGGCAACTGTATTTTTAAATATTACACAAAAACTTTGGCTTTGAATCTCAAGGCACAAACACGTTACAAAACACTTTTATAATAATTGAACAAAATTAAATTGATGTCGTATAGAAGGTACTTTGCATAAGTCGGTATAATACTCAGTTTAGGGGTCAATATTGATTGAAACTAAGGTAATTTGGTGGCGCTAACGATGTCTTCAGCATTTTCGGTACGTATTATTAATTCTGTGCCCTTTCACGCCGTGTAGCTCGTTATTTTTAACCTAACCTAACACCATTACGATTTATTTACAATCGTAATTTGGAAGATGGGTGTTTTTTTGCCTGTAAGGAAAATAATTAATGTCTCCTGTACAATTTCCGGTCCACTTGCTCGTATTTGGGAGCTCACGGGTTGAAACCTCGACCTGGATTTCCTTAGTCCCTCCAGGCAAAATCTTAAATTAGTTCAGTGCTGCCATCTGTCACATCCTTGTCAATTCGTTGCTCGTTAAATCATTTAATGCCCCAGCGACAGAGTCGTTGAATAAATAAATTTGTGGTGGGTTGGTAGCGCTGATTCATCATAACCAATATGCAGTTTTCATGAATGCCAACATAAACGGTTTATGAATTATGTTTTCAAAGGTTGAATTTGTAAACTCGTTAAAGAACATTAATATTTGTGGACTGTCTTTCGTGATGTTGCGCCATGTTGTTTAGTAGAAATCTATTCCGACGTTTCAGAGGTGGGTACTGTTCCCTTCATCATTCCAGATAACTGACTTCTTCGTAACCTCGTTTCTGGTTGCACATCGGGACACAGTTTTTTAATGTTGCATAAAACTCGTCTTAATTGTTTTCAAAGCGATTAACACGTAATTGATTACTTTTAATTATTGCATAATCAGGAAAATAGAATCAGCGGTTAACAGATTTTTGTCATACGCGTTTCACGCCGGCTTTGGAAACCTTTGAAAAGAAACTACGATTAATTCGCCATCCACAAATAATTTCTCTCGCCAAGCACCAAAAAACACAGAAATTAATATAACTTTCTTCTTATCTGGGGCCAATAAAAGTTTTCCCGTCGGAACCAAAGACGTAAACGACAAATTGTCACACCACGTGATCACGTGTTGATGTCATGAAAGACTCTCGGCCATCTCTGCTCTCATCCTCAGGGCTGGCGCGTAACAAATCTGGTCCTTTGTATTTGTGTTGAGGCAGATTATCGAAGGTTTCGTTCTGAATCCTTGGGCACTTGGCTGATTG